CTTTGCATGCTCATGTTCTTTCCTAAATAGGACGTACCCCTTCAGACAAGCATGTATCTGCTCATATGACATCTTAAGTGCACGAAGGAGTTTCTGTGACTCGTACATGCTCTTTGGAAGAATGTGGCCCTCCGGAAGCAGGGTGCCAATCACGGCCAACATCTTATCGAAGCCAGGTCGACTCAAGTTTAACTCGGACTTTAACCCCATTAAGCATCCAATGGCATCCAGTTGAGACACCGTTGACCGATCATGAAGGGGTTTCTATGCCGAGTCCATCATGTCGTAGAACACCTATGCGGTTGCCTCCATCTCCTCCTTCTCATGTCCCTCATCGAACTATCCTTGGTGAAAGTCATCTAACATGTCTGCTACCCCGGCATCAGCATCAAAAGCCTCCACCCGTGGTCTCACCACCTCCTCTCTCATACGATGGGCTTCACCATGGTGGACCCACTAGGTGTAGTCCGGCGTAAATCCATTCTTCACAAGATGTTTACCCATTTCCACATTGTTTACCCTTCTCATGTTTCCACATTTGCTGCAGGGACACAAAACTAGGCAATGTCCTTTAGCAACCTTACCAAATGCACTATTCAAGAAAGCATCGGTCTTGTTCATCCATTCCGTGGTGTAATCACTCTGACTTCTCTGGCCCGTGTACATCCACTAACAGTCATCCATCCTCTAACATATGTATCAGCGAGTAATGTAACCATCAATTGCATCTACATGGTGTTCCTACTGTCTAATAGGTGAGGATAGGTCCTAATCCCACCCGCAGATATGTAGATGAGGTTAGTTTCCATGCTCTACTCCTATCCGAGATAGAATTTTGGCAGTACCTCCCCGCTGTTCTCCAGATACACGTCCTACCAAAGAAGAGTGCGTATCCGGAGAACAACAGGGAGGTGATGCCGAAACTCTATCTCGGATCGGAGCAGACCATGGAAACTAACCCATCTACGCATCCGCGGGCTATCTAAAAAACATGGATAATCCGAAACAGATACGGTCATAGATATGCAAAGATCTGCATACCTCCAATCGTATCTCTTTCGAACAGGAGATGTCTAACTGGGTTATGCGATCTACGACCATGATACAGAAAGAGGGGTTATACCTAGGGTGGTGGTAGAGTTAGGCTAGCGGGGCCGTGGCGGGTCGATGCACTGGTGAGGCGATGCGGTGCAGGAGACCGGCACGGCGACGGGAACTCGGACTCCACTCTCGACAGGATCTTCTCTACAAAAATGGAACAAAATACTGTCATTTAAAAAAATTCGGCAGAACCTCCCCTGCACGGTGAGATTTCCAAAACCTGCAAAAAATAGCGGCACGATGGCCGACAAGCACATATGTCTCAAGAGAAGTCATGTAGTTTGGATATCAATCCATGCAGAAGAATATATCCAAGTAGTACCACTACTTCTACTACTACTTCCACTATTGCTACTACTACTATTACCACTATTGCTACTACTACTACCACTAGTTCTACTACTACTACTACTACCACTACTTCTACTACTACTACTACCACTAGCACTACTACTACAACTATCACTACCACGACAACAAGAGAGAGGGCATACCTAATGGGCGTCGGGGGTAGGGGCGAGCGGCGTCGGCGTCGGGGTCGGGCTCATGGGTTGGGAACAGGATCGAGCAGGCTGGCTGGCGTTAGGCAGGGCGGTCCATGGGCGCGGCCGGCAGCAGGCTCGGCCCTCGGTGGTGTGCAGGCGTGCGGTGCCCACCTTGACACGGCGCTGGCTGGGGGGCCGGCGGGGGATGGGTGGCAGAGGGGACAGAGGAGGGGAGGGGCGGCGGCAGGCAGGGGGCAGCCCACATGGGCGGCGGAGAGGCCCACGGGCGGGGCGGGCGGGCGGGCGGGCGGGCGGGCGGGCGCGCGCGGGGGCGGGGGTGGGCGGCGGGCTGGTGGCACGGAGCTGGTGGTGTCTGCTTGGACTGCCCGGCCGGCCGAAATCGATTAAGTGCACCCACTCGCCCTTTGCCGAGTGCGGATCAGGGAGGCACTCGGCAAAGTTTTTTTTGGAAAATACTTTGCCGAGTGCCCCTGACACAGCACTCGGCAAAGATTTAATTTTTTTTAAATGTCTTTGTCGAGTGTCCCAAATCTAGCACTCGGCAAAGTTTTTTTTTTGGAAAATACTTTGTCGAGTGCCCCTGACACGGCACTCGGCAAAGATTTAATTTTTTTTAAATGTCTTTGCCGAGTGCCCGGCACTCGGCAAAAAGGAAATTTCTAAAAAAAATAAAAAATCCTCTTTGCTGAGCGCCTTATTCTTGCCACTCAGCAAAGACCCCCTTTGCCGAATGCCATGCCCCGGCACTCGGCAAAGTTTTTTTATTTTTATTTTTGTTTTTGGCCTCCAAATTTTTTGTGCTAAAGTAACTAAATATATCAAAAAGCCAAAAAAAATCCTCAAATTCTAATTAGGAGTTCCTGGTACTTTAAAAGGGCTACACAAAAAATTTGGAGGCCAAAAATAAAAAACTTTGTCGAGTGCCGGGGCATGGCACTCGACGAGGGGGGTCTTTGCCGAGTGCCAAGAATAAGACGCTCGGCAAAGAGGATTTTTTATTTTTTTAGAAATTTCCTCTTTGCCGAGTGCCTCCACATGGGCACTCGGCAAAGACATTTAAAAAAATTAAATCTTTGCCGAGTGCCGTGTCAGGGGCACTCGGCAAAGTATTTTCCAAAAAAAAATACTTTGCCGAGTGCCAGATCTGGGACACTCGGCAAAGATATTTCAAAAAAAAATTAAATCTTTGCCGAGTGTCGTGTCAGGGGCACTCGGCAAAGTATTTTCAAAAAAAAACTTTGCCGAGTGCCTAACAGCAGACACTCGGCAAAGAAGGACGTGGCCGAACACCGTTACGCGGGGCAGCCTATGCCGAGTGCCGCGCTTTTGTCGAGAGTCTGGCACTCGGCAAAGAAGTCCTTTTGCCGAGTGCCCTTTTTTGCCGAGTGCCCGGCACTCGGCAAAGAACTCTTTGCCGAGTGCAATTCTTTGCCGAGTGCGGCACTCGGCAAAGAAGGTCTTTGCCGAGTGCCCGATTTTTGACACTCGGCAAAGCAGTTTGCACTCGGCAAAGGCTCTGTTTTCAATAGTGATTCTTTGCTCATCGCCTAGGTATCCTGCTTTGTACTAATAGATCGGCAGCGTGATGATCACGACGCGTGGCTAGCGTTTAATAAATTATTTTCACTATTGATTTGGGAGAAAAACCAACAATTAAACCAGCATCACCATCGGTTTTAATAAATCTGATAGTGATAGTAAAAATATCAGTGGCGAAAATTATTTTTGTTGTAGTGAAAACACAGAAAACTCATTAAATAATCTAATGAGGACAAACCCTTAAATAACGGGCCAACCCATCTCCTTTTCTTTTCCTCACCTCAGTGTAGGCTGCCAGCCTGGACCTTGTCTCATTCCTTATGGCTTGTTTGGCTAATCCCCAATCCAAGGGGATTAAAGGGAATTTTATCCTCTACAAATCAAAATCCTCTTCAATTCCTTTCAATCCCATCCAATCCTTTCGGGTTGAGAATAACCGAATAAGCTCTTAGGAGGCGGTTTGGGAAAGATCCCCCCGCATATTCGCCACCCAAACCGTCATTAGAGTAGTATATAAGAAGGGGGAGAGCCCCCTCTCAACACACACCATTTGGAGTTACCTCTCCCTTCCACCTTTGTATTTTTACCTTTTAGTAGTTGGAGCTAGGCAAAGCTTCCTTGGAGAGGCTTGAACATCTTGGCAACTTTTGGTATGAGAAATATATTTGAGTTCAATATGTTCTTGCCCTCTACTTATCAATATAGTTATGTTTATGAACTAGAGCAAAGTTCTTATGTTACATGTTTAGCATATAGAACTTTATGCTTAATCGTTCATACAACATATATGGTTAGAATTAGAGCTAAAGTTGAGGTGGCGGATCGTCGTGCCTTCGGGCTTGCCCATGTCCTTACTTGTCAATCCGTAGGGTTAGAGTCCCAGGGGGATATGGGTAGTTTTCTTTGTACATGAGCTTGGTGTTCGGATACATAGGGACCAGCGGATGCATTTCATACTCCACAGTTGAGGGGTAGGCGGCAGGTGGTGACAGCCTTGTCTGTCCTTTGTAATCCCCCACGTTCGGGTATGATGTAGGAGTACGTAAATTGCCTCATGAGGTTGCTAGCAGATCAGTACTCGGAGGTCTCCCGACCCATTTCATGCTTAGAGCTAGTTCCTAACCATGTATGTATGTATACTAGCTGTTCTTTGCATAACTGTATTAGGATATGCCTGCTCTTGTTTGGAAACATTCTTTTATTCTTATTCTTTCTACTCTTGTTTATCCTTAAGTAGATCCATGTGTGTCACACTATCTCTACAACAACTGTTTTACCCCTGCTATGAACTTTGGTTCATTATATAAGCATGTCATCTTGTTCATATCCGTACTAGAATCTTTATACCATGCCTTCATTTGGAAAAATATAAATGAACGATACCTTGAAATACTTTCGGATGAAATGCTACAACAATAATTTCGTGTGCTTGCGAAATCTTTTCTGTAAACGTTAAGAACTAACACCAAGGCGTTTCTGGGGTCATTGCCGGGGATGGACTCCATTCTTGGTGGCGACGTTTAAAAATGCCAACACTTCCTCAAGCCGAAGAGGACGCTCCATCTTGCCCTCTCCCGCACGGCGCCCGCGCCTTCGGTCCATCATGCTAGGCACAATCCACGTCCCCATCGATGGCTTTCCTCCCCCGGCGCCTACTCTAGACGCCCAGAGGAGAGTCAGCTTCTCATTCAATCCGCCATCCCCAGCTCACCACCCATCCACCGACCACCACAACTCCACCCCTGCCTACATCCCCTCAAATCCTGCCTCAGATCCGCTACAGTCGGCGTGCCGGCCGTGGGCCCGAGCGAGACCTGGATACTGATGCCTGTGGCTGCTCCGGCCACAGCACTAATGGCGACGCCCCTTCCCAAATCCCAAGGCTACCTCGACAAGACAGGAGGTCATGGTGCCGTACGGGATGAAAATGGATGGTCTCGGGTTTTCCTGAGACGTTGGTGGCGCCATTTTGATCGCCCTGGCGGATTCAATGCGCTCAGCGGCCCACACGCCACCGCCTCGCCCCACCATTACTGTGCTCCTCCAAGGTAAATGCCTCCGCTGCCTCACTAGAGGGCACTTCGTGTCCACCTATAGAGAGCCTGTGCGCTTCCTGCGCTGCGGACGCATTGGCCATAAAGCTCGAGAGTGCAGGTCCACAGTCCAGCAGCGTCCAAAGCCTCTGCCTACTCAGCAGCCGAGGCCACCACCTCTTGACGCTGTGAACTTCCCCTGAGCTCCCTCGCCCTGCCATGGTGCAGCCGAGTGACCTGACCCTGCGGCCGGAAGAAACCTCGGCGGTTGCTGCGTCCAATGGAACCATGGAAGAAGAGCTGGCACGCCTATCCTCCTACGTAGTGGTGGCTTGTTTGTGCAGGGACCGAGATGATGTCGGCCTAGAAAGCGTCAAGAAGGCTTTCTGCTCTCGGCTTGGCGTCAGGCAGTCCGACATCAAGGTGGTGCACCATCGATCGGAAGACTTCCTCATCGACTTCATGTTTCCACATCACCGTGATGCGGCAGTGGCCATGGAGCAACTCCCCGTTGGCAGTCTCGACATCCGCATCAAGCCCTGGCGCATGCTCCCCTACGGTGACCATTGCGACCTCCATTACCACGTCTGTCTCTGCCTTGAGGGAATCCCCGCCCACGCCTAGAACGAGAGCATCATCATGCACGTAGTTGCGAGGGCCAGTGACCTTGACTACGTGGACTCACGCTCCCTGCGCCGCGACGACACCAGAGCCCTGTGTCTATGGGCATGGACGCACAACCCCTTCGACATCCCCAAGGTAACTTGACTCACATTGATAGGTAACTCGGTGATGGTACACGGTGGCGTGACCCCGCCCAAGGGAAGATGAGGACTCACCCTCAAGATCATCGTCTAGCTCGACCTTATCGAGTTCCCGCCTGACGACTACAGCCAATCCACGACCCAGGAGTTGAAGCGGCATTACGGCGTCATAGACGACAAGCGCGCCCCATGTGACCGACATGACCTGGCACCACCGGACACCAGGGCCCACCGACGCAAGGACGATGATGATGATGATGATGCAGACGCCGCGACGACAAGAGCTGCAATTAGGGCTTCAGGCTCTTCTGCAGCCTATCCCGCACGTCGACCAGGGATCGCGAGCGGGAGTGCTCAGAGTCTAGGCATGGCAGGTGACACGATAGATCCTCTACAACTAGTGATCATCGCCGACACGTCGATGCAGTTCCGTACCGCACATGAACCGGTACCGCTCCACCTCGCTAAGAGCTCCGCACGAGCGTGGGGCTCCGAGTCCCGTGGCGAACATGCTGGGCGCTACCACGAGTCACGCAACGCCCACCCAAAAGAAGGGGTTCTAGCCCTACGCTTGCCGCCAGCAACACCGCAGACTACCCAGGCATCCCGTCACTGAAAGACCATGGACTTAGCCGCGAGCATGGCAGCCATCGATGCAGTGGAGGAAGGAAGCGCTCACCGACTCACTCCGCGCCAAGGCAGCCCACTCTAGAAGCGCAAGAACGCTGGAACCCAAGGTGCTCCTTTGACATCACCAATGGGGTCCCCAAATCCACTGGCGTCGACATGCTTCATAACTCAACAGGACTACGGCTCCCCTGATCCTCCTTTGTCATGCAGGGAATTCCCACAACCCGACGGGGAAACCATGTAGTTCTCATCACCTGCAGAGAACATTGTGGAACCCTTGCTGGAAGTCGTCATCACGCCACGAGCAAACCAGTCATCGCCACGCCTGAGGCCTCCTATGCCGAACACCTCGGCGACGCGTGCGCGGGTGGAGCGCTTCAGGCCCGGTGTCGTCTACGTCCGGTGTCGACGTCGGGGGCCAGGCAACCCCAGGCCATGTCAGGGCTATGCGACCGCCAGACCGGCCATGGTGACCCAGGGTCAGGAGGCCGCTACGCCGACGCTGACCAACGCTCGTGAGGAATCACGCGAGACACAGGGAACATAGCGGCCACGTTCGTCGAGGCGTTGTCGCGCCCCCTGCCTTCATCACTACTGCAAGTGCCACAGCGTCGATCCACCCTGCCTCTACAATGCAAGACTGCAGGGGCACCGAGATGCAGGAGCGTGTGCATCACATCCATGTAGTGGCCCAGAGGTGACGCCCAGCCCAGAGCGCGCCAGGTGCTCATGAAGTGGTTGGGCATCCTAGACGATGACAACTCCACCTCCGATGACCTGTTTCTGTGCTATGTTGGTCTCTTCAGGGGACTGCTCACTGACCCAATGGTGAGGGCAGTGATGGCCCTTTGCGTCCTGGATGATGCCGCAGTGACGGACGATCCCCGCGCCTAGAGCGGGCAACTCCAAGGTCCCATTTTGTGTACCCATGTTAGCCCCAATGTATTCACCAAAGACCTGCAATGGTAAGTCCATCGGTAACGGTCAGCGCTCGCCATCCTTATGGTCGCCCGGGGTGACAGCCAGAGGCCTTAAGTCACCACCGTCACTGATCTGGGAGCCTGTTTGCCCTTTAGTTCATCGTCGTAGCCACACTTGTTTTGGCTATGTCTCCATGCCCTGCTCCTCCACGCCGGTAGCCATTGGCCTTCAACCTGGCCGGCTAGATCCAGCTCCTCCATGCTCTTTTGCCCTCAAATTCAAGCTTTGTTACCATCCAAGAAACTTCTACTTTTGCTCAACGCTTCGTGGCCATGGCAGCTATGCTAAATCAGGGTCCTCTCCTTTGTTTTAATGGCACAACGTAACTGTCAAATACTTAACTGGAACATGAGAGGTTTGAATGACGGAGCAAGGCAAGACGCAGTCAACGAGCTCGTTAAAGATACCGGTGCCACCGTCGTCTGTCTACAAGAAACAAAACTGCATTTGATCGACATGTAATGAAACGCACAGTAGGAACAAAATTTGCTAACTCCTTTGCTATGTTGCTGGCCGTGCAAACTAGGGGCGGCATCCTTCTGGTTGTAAATGAGGACTACTTCGATCTCTTAGACATCCAACCCTCAGCAAATGCCCTTAATGCGACGATCACAATGACGGCGGACAAAATCCAATGGCAAATCACGGTCGTGTAAGGGCCACAAGGGGATGCAGCGAAGCTTCAGTTCCACCATGAACTAAAAAGCATCCTTGCACCCGACCATAGAAGACGGCTTATCCTAGGAGATTTCAACCTTATCTACCAAGCGGAGGACAAAAACAATTCCAACCTAAATCGGCGCCTGATAAGCTCGTTCAAGGCGACAATAGATGACTTGCACCTTAAAGAGATCAAGCTGAACGGTCGTCGTTTTATATGGAGCAACAAGCAAACCAACCAGACTCTAACTAGAATCGATAGGCTCTTGTGCACCTCGGAATAGGATCTACTCTTTTTGGCCTGCCTCCTCCACTCGCTGCCGTCCCTCATGTCGGACCGCACCACACTACTCCTGCAGGGAGAGATTGTCCACCATCAAAACTCCTCCTTTCGATTTGAAAGCTTTTGGATTCGCGTGCAAGGGTTCCATGAGCTCGTTCAGATCTAGTGGAGCAAGCAAGTCCACTCCGCACTACCTTTAAATCACCTACACATCAAGCTAGCATGTGTTACCAAAGATATCAAGAGATGGAAAAGAGGGAAAATTGTAGACAACAAACTGCAGCTAGCACTAGTAAAAGAAGTCCTGCTACAACTGGAAGCAGCACAAGAACACAGACCGCTCACGAACCAAGAACCCGAACTACGCCGGTGTCTCAAAGCCTGCAGCACCAGCTTGGCAGCAATTGAAAAATCAAGAATCAGGCAAAAGTCTAGGCTCACCTACATCCGCTGCAGAGATGCCAACACAAAATTCTTCCATATCCGGGCTAGTGCGAGGCTAAGGAAAAACTACATCCATTGTTTGCACACAAATGGATGAGTGGCGTTCACTCATGAGGCCAAAGCGAAGTTAATTGGAGAATACTTTAGGGACCACATTGACTCCACACACCCCAGACCCACTAGCATCAATTGGCACTCCCTTGGGTACACCCAACGAGACCTTTTGGAGCTAGAGGCACCTTTCACTCAAGAGGAGATCAGAGACACAATAAACTCCATGCCGTCGGACAAAGCTTCGGGTCTAGATGGTTTCACCGGGGCTTTTTTCAAATCTTGTTGGGAGATCATCAAAGATGATGTGACGGACGCCATAAACAGTCTATTCGCAATGAACTCCCAAGGCTTTGAACTGCTTAACTCAGCGAACATCGTCTTGCTCCCAAAAAAGATGGATGCACTAAGAGTCAAGGATTTCAAGCCCATCAGCCTCATCCACAGCGTTGCAAAGATCTTATCCAAACTCCTAGCAAATAGGCTTGCACCCCTATTGGATTCCTTGGTCTCAAACTGTCAAAGCGCTTTCATAAAGAAGAGAAGCATCCATGACAACTTCTTGTATATCCAGAGCACTACAAGAAAAATGCACAAGCTGAAAATGCTAGCCCTCTTCATGAAGCTCGACATCCACAAAGCGTTTGACATCGTCAACTAGAGCTACCTACTATAGGTGTTGCAGGCACTAGGCTTTGGACTATGTTGGCGCGAATGGGTGTCCATCCTCTTTTGCATGGCCACTTCAAGAGCTATACTCAATGGATAGCACGGTTGAAGATTCAGCCACGGCAGAGGGGTCCGACAGGGGCACCCACTCTCGCCCATGCTCTTCATTCTGGCAATGGACCCACTGCAACGTCTGCTCGACTTAGCGACGCAGCATGGGATCCTCACCCCGCTACCTCTGTCAATAGACAGGTGGAGAACCTCCATGTACACAGATGACGTAGCCATCTTCATCAATCCTTTAATGCAGGGCGTGACAGCAGTCAAGACAATTCTCGAAGCCTTTGAGGGATTTTTGGGACTACACATAAATCTGCAAAAAAATTCCATACACCCGATTGGATGCGAAAATATGGACCTCGACCACGTGCTAGCCTCCTTCGTCGGAATCAGGGGCACCTTCCCCTGCCAATACTTGGGACTACAACTCCACACCAGATCTCTACAAAAAGTCCGCGTGCAACCCCTCATCGAGCGCATTGGACAGAGATTGCCCGCCTGGAAGGGGAGATGGCTAAACAGAGTAGGCCGCCTCATGCTCGTCTCTTCCGTCCTATCTTCCATGCCTAATTACCACCTCACGGTGTTTCCTTTGGCCACATGGGCAAGGAAGAAAATAGATAAAATCAGATGATACCTTCTTCTGGAAAGGAGATGAAAATGCAAAATGGCGGTCACTGCCTAGTTAACTGGCCAATGGCCACCAAGCCCAAGGAGCTTGGGGGCTTAGGGGTGCCCGACCTGGAAAGATTTGGAAGAGCGCTTCGCCTCTGATGGCTTTGGCAGGAATGGGTGTATGAATCCAAACCGTGGGTGGGTTCCAAACTTCCCTGCAATGAGGCCGACCAACTACTCTTCAACGCATCAACAACAGTCACAATTGGTGACGGCAAGAAAACCTGCTTCTGGCACAGCAGCTGGCTCTAGGGAAGCCACCCAGAAACCTTGCGCCCCACCTGTTCCAACTCATCAAGAGAAAAAATAAACCGGTCCAGCAAGAACTCCAAAAGATACTCTCCCTCAAGGGTAAGATCACCACTGCTACTCAAATCGAAGAGTTCGTCTCCCTTTGGGTCAGAATTCAAAACATCCGGCTGTCCCTAGGGGTCTGTGACATGATTGCTTGGAAATAGATGGCCGATGGCTGCTACTCCACCCGATCAGCGTACTGGATCCCGTTCAGCTTCTCCTATGGAAGATTCTGATACAACCACATATGGAAAGCACACGTAGAAAACAAATGCAAAGCTTTGCTTGGATACTCGTTCAGGAAAAAAATCTAAATGTAGATAATTTGCAAAAAAGAGGATGGCCTCACCAGGAACACTGTGTCCTGTGCGACAAACCTCTAGAAACCGGCCTGCGCCTCTCCCCCTTATGCCCATTTGCTAAGGCGGTATGGAACCAAGTTTTGACATGGGAACACTTTGACAGCAACACACCCAAGCCTTACCGGACCCTCTGCACATTGACACATGGTGGGAATTGCCCGCACGCATGGTGGCCAAAGCCGAGAAAAAGGCATTTCAATGAAATGGTGATCTATACTTTCTGGAACATATGGAAAGAAAGGAATATGCGAATTTTTACAAACACCTCGGAGTCGGTCTTGCAGGTGGCTTCAAGAATTAGGTATGACATCATCCAAAGAAAGAGGGCCAACACAGAGAGGGAGTAGCGCCCAAGGGCGGAGTTTTCTTTCTTTGGCTCTTTGTCTGCCTAGAAGGGGTGTCTACTATTGTATATAAAACTCTCTTTTTTCTATCTTAATTGAAGGACAGAGCTCCTGTCGTTACGTTAAAAAAATGACTCTGATATTCTCCATTAGATGCTACGTGTCTTGTGGACATCCTGGATAGCGAGTACTGTAACGAGTGCCGGATTTTCTTTGAAAAAGTAGGTGCTACAGCACATGACGTATATTTGACTCGGTTTGGCTGGGTTTCCATGTATCAATGCGAATCCAGCTAGGATCAGTAGATCTGTTCTTTTTTAGTATATAAGTATAAGTAATCTATATTTGTTGTTTGTTGTATGTACCTGCAAAGGGTGACATGAGACGACATGACAGGTGTTTGAGAAATTAACATTGTCAATGTTGTCTTCCTCTAGTTGTCTTGTTTGCTTGTTCGCTGGGTCAAACAAAGCGACATCAGATCCAATTTGTACTGGTACTTATATATTTTTAATAACAGACATATACAGTCGACCGATGTACATGCAGCACAACAGTACCTTAGTGGACTTTGTCGATAACAAGAAGTTGCGTACTAGATACAGCAGGCAGCTAGGTTGATAGATGTTGATGGCACCGAGTTTGCAACATGTACATTTTACCTTTGACAGTAATCCGAGAGCCATTTATTTACGTTAATCAGCCTCCATATCAAGCACATGATGCCACATGTCTTTTCTCTTCAACTAATATATAATTATGAGATGAGACAAGGAGATGGAGCTAAGCTAGATTTTTTTTTTCTGTATGTTGTTTGTGCTCCTTGTTTTGCAGTGTCTACGGAATTTTTTACTACTCTCCCTTCAGAGCAGTCCTGAAATATGCTAGTGTATAGAAACATTCAAAAATTTTACTAAATATAAATGATTTGTATACGCTACAACCTTTAATATTTAGACATTTGTTTTTCTAGACAGACATAAGTAGTACTACTATGTCATGTCTGTGAAAAAGTGAAGTGCAATAGTAAAGATATAAGTACTCCTATATCCTAAGAAAGTAGCATTATTAAAGTCAAACGGTGCTTCAGCTCATGCAACGGGAGAATAAAAGAGCGGCTCTTGTTCACCTCTGCCTTCTCTCTCTCTCTCTCTCTCTCTCTCTCTCTCTGCTTAGTACCAACTGGAAACGAGTGAGCTAATGCCATTGCTCCTCCTCTATTGTTCGTCCTCTTACTCTTCGGTCGTGCTCGTGCAAGCAGCACTCCTCCATCCGATCCATATCCATTGGAGACACACGGAGACAGAGACAGAGGGACTGGGAGATGGGGGGCGACGCTGAGCCTGACGATGCGGTGCTCTTCGTTGGGGTGTCGCTGGTACTGGGCATCGCCTCCCGCCACCTCCTCCGCGGCACCCGCGTCCCCTACACCGTCGCCCTTCTCGTCCTCGGCGTCGCGCTTGGATCCCTCGGTAAGGTTGCTTTCCATTCCCCCTTCATTCGCTTGTCTTATTCGTCTACTAATCTATCTACAGATGCAATGGGATTTCCGAAACTGAATCCAGCAGTGCCCCTTTCGCTTTCGTAATTAATCTACAATCATCTGCCAGGACCAGGAGCTCTCAGTTCAGTCGCTCCGATCCTTGTTACAGTAAACACCCTTTGATTGCCACAAATAATTCATAACGATAGAGCGACTTATTAGCTGCTACTACTGCTACAGCAGTACTAGCATTTCTATTTCAGTCAGCACAGTTGGATCAGGATACTACTACTACTACTAGTAGCGTTTTTTTATATAATACACCCTCGATCCCTAAGTAAACCAACTTCTAGAATTGTCATAAGTTAAACTTTTGTAACTTTGACCAACTTTATAAAAATAATATCAACATCTATGAGAATAAATAAACACGCTATAAAAATATATTTTATGGTGTATCTAATGACACTACTTTTGTCTTTTGGTATTTTCTTCTATAAATTCGGTCAAACTTATAAAAGTTTTACTTAATACAACTATAGAAGTTGATTTATTTAGGGACGGATGTAGTAATATAATGGCCCCAGCCCCAGTTTTGTTTTTTTATACTTGCTCTGCTACTAAGTAGTAGTATTTTCTTTCTCTGATTACTTCCAGAATATGGAACACAACATGGTCTAGGCAAACTTGGAGCTGGAATTCATATATGTAAGTTTCTTGTACCGCTATTCATTCTAATTGATTGATACTTCAGTTCCTTCCACATGTATGTGTAGGTACCTAATTCAATTCCCTACCTGGTTTTATTTCATTCATCATTCAGTCAGTTATTTCCCTTCCAATTAATTTGCAGGGGCTAACATAAACCCTGATCTTCTGCTGGCTGTTTTTTTACCTGCTCTCCTCTTTGAAAGCTCCTTCTCCATGGAACTACACCAAATAAAGGTACATCATGTGATGTCTGTTTATCCTCCGTGCACGATGTGGGAGCACACTAATATATGATCACAATAATGCTTGTTCACACCCAAAAGTTTTCTTTTCTGTCTAAATCATTTCGGTTTCTCTCTTAAAACGTTACTGTCAACACTGGATGGCCCTTACTTCTGCCTGCTGTACCTCTCTGTTATGCTGTTCATTACTTCATTTCTGTGCTAATTCTCAGTTATTACTTCTGGCTTTAGACATTCTATGCTTCCAAGCAGACAACCACTTTGGTGCTAAAGATTCAAAATCTGTTACGAGAGTAGCACCTTCATATGCAACTAACTCACCCCAAGACCCCTAGCCACTACACATTCAAAGAAGTGATGGCAAAAATTCTCCAAACCTCCACAAAAGAGACAGCTACCGTCCTCCACCATCCTCCTTTTGGCTAAGTTATCTCTAGACAAAAGCTTGTTCTTCGATAAGAGCACAAAAAGACGTGAACCCTCAGGGGGATCCTAAATTTCCAAACTGCAGGGGTGTAGTACGCAGGAGTCACACTGCAGGGGTGTAGTACGCACAACTGTTCCATATACATTTGTTGAGTGCTAACTACGATGCTTATTTTGCAGAGATGTATGGCACAGATGGTGTTACTTGCTGGACCAGGTGTGGTAATATCAACAGTTTTACTTGGCGCTGCCGTAAAGGTATGTGCTTAGAGAAACAATGAGACATTGGTTTTGATATTCCAATGCTTCCTAATTGGTGTCTCACAGCTCACATTTCCTTACAACTGGAGCTGGAAAACATCATTGTTGCTTGGCGGACTGCTTAGTGCAACTGATCCAGTTGCTGTGGTTGCACTGCTAAAAGAACTCGGAGCAAGTAAAAAGCTTAGTACAATCATTGAGGGTGAATCCTTAATGAATGATGGGTAAGCTACTATAGTATTGGACTCTAGAAGAGGGCATGTAGATGAGCCCTATAGATTGCACTTTCTGTTCTTGCCACTGCTACATTAATAAATAAATGAAATCATACTTCATGCTAAAATTAAATTTGAAAGTATTTACACTACCATGCTAATAACACAAGTTGTCAAAGCTTTTATATTCAATAGTCATATTGGGAATGTAAATTTTGTTACTCTATTTATGTAAGTTAGAATATGGAATTCAAGGTTTAGTTAACTATGCAATGACCTTATCTGAGTATACAAGGCAACCTTGATTCATGTACTATGGGATTCGCTCTCCTCATTGTATGTATTAGCTACATATTATGTATTGTGGTACATGTATGATACCTAGAAATAGAAAAGTTTTCAAGTTCAGTTATAAACAGTTATAAAATCTGTAAGAGCTCCACTCATGCTAAATGACCAGGCAGAACTCCTGCCGGTCGTTTAAACTCACACTCGTCTTCTCTATTAATATATGCCAGGAAGAACTCCTGCTGGTCGTTTCAAAAAAAAAAAACTCATGCTAAATGACCTCAAATTATACAGGACCTCTATTGTTGTCTATCAGTTATTCTATCGAATGGTGCTTGGAAGAACCTTTGATGCTGGCTCAATAATAAAGTTCTTGTCTGAAGTTTCACTTGGAGCGTATGTGGAATTTCTTTGTTACATTCAAAATGAATTATATGGATATGTGTGTATAATGCTAATTAGTATCTTCTTTGACCAGTGTTGCTCTGGGCCTTGCATTTGGAATCGTGTCAATACTGTGGCTGGGCTTTATTTTTAACGATACAATCATAGAGATTTCACTTACTCTTGCTGTCAGCTATATAGCTTTCTTCACTGTAAGGCCATGGCACTCAGAAGTCCTTACTTCCCTCTTTTCTCGGAGACTTTGCTTTTGTTAATGTTCATTGGTATCAGGCGCAAGACTCATTGGAGGTCTCCGGTGTTTTGACTGTCATGACGCTGGGAATGTTAGTAAACTTGTGTCGACAAATAGTTTTGGCAAATTTTTTAATATCATTTCTCTTGTATTGACCATGTTACCTGGGCAGGTTCTATGCAGCTTTTGCAAAAACTGCTTTTAAGGGTGAAAGTCAGCAAAGTTTACACCATTTCTGGTATGTATCTTATAGAAACATGTCAGCCTCCCAACTAGAGATCCTACTGCTGTGCTATGCCGCTATCACTGTGCTTGCATGACTGGGGAAACTAAACAAGGTTGAGAGGTTGAGTCAGCCAGGGTGGTGGAATTGGAATAGCTGGTGAACTACTTATTGCACTATGGGAAGTAATTTGAGGGTCCGCCATAGCTATTTACTAGCCATGTTAATTTGGGATCTGTAACCAACAAAAAGATTCATTATAAAAACAAACAAAAACATAAATACACAAGCATTAATTAATACCAATTTTTTGCATGGAACGATTCTGGTACTCAGTGTCCCTGCGATTCCTATCCTAATTTTGTCGATGAATAATTTTCCAGTGTTGGTTACCAAAAGTACTATGAAATTTTTCAGTTGACACTGAATTAAGGTACCCTAATCTAGGTATTACTACAAACACATCAAATTATTGACTTTTTTTCTTCTGTAAATTATGTACATGTGCTTGCATATATGCTCTGCAAGATAGTTCTTTACTTTTCTGATATATGAGTATTCATCTGATCTGAGTTTCATGTTTGCTTTGTTCTTATTCTTGTATTTAGGGAAATGGTTGCCTACATTGCAAACACACTTATTTTTATATTGAGGTATTGGCAGCTCTTCTATACACATGGGGAAAAAAACTCTTTCTGGTTTTTCTGTTTATGTCCACTTGTCCAGTTGGTTTGAACTACTAGTTGCTTTGATCTTATGCTTCATAATGACACAGTTGTAAAGTTTCTCACATGTGAATTCCCTTCAGTGGCGTTGTTATTGCAGATGGCGTTCTACAAAATAATGCCCACTTTGAGAGGCACGGTATGCATCATGTACATCCTGAAATTTACTTCTATATGTCCTTTAGGTCGAGGTCGGGTTTTTCCAATCTAGCACTGGTGCATCTGCTTTTATAAGCCTATGAGTGGATCTGTGTTGCAAGGGTTTCTCTGGACCCCTTTTTCTCTTCTTAAATAATATAATGATACACAGCTCTCCTGCGTATTCAGGAGAAAAAAAATCCTATGTCCAAGTGAAATATACAAAAGCCACCTCACCATTGACCATGGCATGTTCAAATAATTTCCATTTGGCTTATCTTCTACTTAATTGGCTTTGATTTTTGTTACATGTTTTGATATTATGGTGAGTTGAACCTAATTGATCACCGCGTCCCTTTTTTTTTATCCGTGAGTACAGCAGGGGAGACCCCCCCACTGTAAATTTTATTGAAGTAGAAAAAAAGAACTGTACAGAGAGGTTCAAGAGCTGCACAAAAGGAAGACCAAAGAAAAGAGGCCCAAGCAAGGCCAGAAAACAACTCAGCCAAAGAGGTCAAGAAGGAAAAGAAAAGCCATTCGTTTGGAATCGCAAAATCTATGAGCTTGAAGCCTAGCCTCTTCACAGAAGTTTTGTCTCCAAGAATCAAAGGAAGGGCGGCCACGATTGAAGATAAAGTCGTTTCTTTGCTTCCAAATTTGCCATGCCCCAATGATGAAGAACTCCATGAAGAAAGGATTCAAAAATTGCTATTTTGCTTGAATCATCATTTGGAAGAAGTTAGTGGCAAAATCCCATTGAATGCCAAAGTGTTACTAGCAAGCTTGACTAAAAGGGCAACTGAAGAAGAGATGAAAGCTTAGTTTGCTTGGAAAACAAGTCCTCTATGGACTATAAATATAGGGGCAATGTAATATTTCAATCTTAAGCAGGAAATAGAGCCTCAGCTCTTACCCCTTCCCTCTCTCCTTCTACAGCCGCCGCCGCCTCTCCCTACGCCACGCAGTCGCTGCCCTAGCCGCCGTTGTTCCTTGCAGCAGCCGCTGCCCAACCCTAGCCGCCAGTCACTGCTGGCGATAGCAGCCCCAACCGGCCCCCGGATCAGTGACACCTGGTATCTCGAAGACCAGATTGATCCTACGAGCAATGTTTTGATCCACTACCATGGAGGACGCCCGCATCACTAGGTACTGATCATTGGATGATGGAATTCGACAAGTTCTTCGCACATCTCCAAAATTCTCCATCGATAATAGATCCAACTCAACCGGAGATCACATCAGAGGTCCCTACCGAGCACGAAGGAGGAGCACCAACAACAACAACGCCAACACCCAGCGCGCTCGACACAAAAACCACCCCAACTCTTTTCCTACAGATACATCTATGGGGTCTTCAGATGGAACCGCCTCGGCCATCAACTAGGACACCAACTCCGCAGCCATGGCCAAGGCAAAGCAGAATCGCAAGATCACCGCCAAAGAAGAGGGCCCCAAGTGGTCAGGAGTCCCAGAGATCGGGGAGCAGATGACGAACAATCTATTCATTACTAGGCTAGAGCAAGAGGTAACACCTATGGCAATGCGACCTCTTCTACTTCCTCACCCGACAGTAGATCCAAAGGTGCCTTCAGATGCAACAAACTCGGCCCCCACACCTACACCAGCTGCAACTACACCAATGACAATTACGTCCACAGCAACAGGATCACCCTTGGTCCTCCAACCCCAGGCTGACAACTCCACCGTCGCCATCATCAAGAAGGAGAGCGGATATGGTACCATCATAGTCGACAATCTCGACCGTGCACACCCAACCCTCATTGCCGCCAACAACACAGTGACGTCAGAGATCCCTATTAGGCACATAGAACCAGACAACGGGCTACAGGTACAAAAATCCAATAAGCCCCTCGGCCTATACAGCTGATCTTGATGGATGCCGGCATCCCACGCTCCCTCATCAGCACCACACATAAGGCCATCAACAACAACACCCACGTTGATGTCTTCCTCGACACTTCATGGTTGGACACACTTGAGTCGATCTACTAGAATTTCTACACCATGGAGAAGAATTCCAAACGAGACAACCACACCGCCTTCTACATCAGGACAACACCAACATCTACGATGTGTAATGCCATTAGCACCAGGCATCACCATTACAACGGCTCTAATAAATTCTAGGTACACAACTTCAATAGACCCCCACGATCTATGCAGATGTTATCAGCCATGCCAAGGGAACACTAGTGGTCTACCAGGATGAGTCAACCCCAACATCAAATGATGTCTACATCCTCGGCTACATCTCGACAAAATCTCCACACGAGCTATAATTTAGCGTGAGGACGCGCTGACAGAAAGCGGGGGAGAAAGCTGGCACTCCCTGCCCAATCCTTCATCGTCATGGCACCACCTCAGCAGCAACAAGCGCTACCACCAGGGCGTGCAGTCGCCACCACCATCATGGGCGGCACCGCAGCATTGGCTTGGTCACTTGACCAAGGGATCATCTTCGGCTCCAACAAATGCTTCTATTGTTCGGTGCCATCACCACCATTGCCGAACCTGCTAGACACTCATCATTGGGGGATGAACGACAAACTAGCACTCCCTCATAGTAGACTCCCATGCTCCATCAGCAACCGCGATGGTAAGCTATTTTCCCCTGAAGGCATCCCCATGGCACACATCATACTACCATCAACAATGACAATCTTCCTCAATGAAGGCCGCCATTTCCTTCCCATGGGGAACGTCGGTATCAACACGCACCATGACGCTAGTGCCCGCGTCCCATCCTCATCGCTGCTCAAGATGCACACGGGCCAGCAAGGGCCACTAGGGCTACATCTTCGGCTACATCAGCAACCACCAGCACTACTTCGGGTTCATCATCGACCGCACTCGTGACAACATCATCTATGTGGAGGTCAAGCTGAGGCACCTCACCATCGGCATCAAGGTGATGGTCCTTGGAGGAGCATCTCACCTAGACAGTATCGATGACTGGGCAACGATACAGCGCGAGGACACGCTATGTGGAAAAGGGGGAGTGATGTCACACATCTAAATATAGGCCCCCACGTCAAGCAAGCAAAGAGAGGCCCCCAACGCCGAGCCCTGGTCAACCAAGGTCTGGGCCAAGGCGCCAGGTTGGGCCCCAAACAGTGCCGGTGTGAACAGTACCAACCGGGGAAGTCCAGATTAGATGAAAAAATAGGAAAAAGAGGAAAAATAGAAATAGAATTTATTTAGGCTGAATAGGATTGGTTTGCTAGGAAAGAAGTCCAAATCTATAAGATCTCCTCCTCTAGTTTGCTTGGAAAACAAGTCCTCTAGGGGCGATGTAACCTTTCAATCTTAAACAAGAAATAGAGCCTCGGCTCTTACCCCTTCCCCCTCTCCTTCTACAGCTGCCGCCGCCTCTCCCTATGTCGTGTCGCCGCTGCCCTGCAGCAGCCACCGCCCAACCCTAGCCGCCGGTCACCGCCAGTGACAGCAGCCCGAACCACACCCCCCCACCCCGGGATCAGGCCTGTGAGACCTGTTGATTGGGAGAAAGATTCCAACAAGCTTTTCAAGATGAAGAGTTCATGTTGAGATGCTTTCATGATTAAGATTGTATTATCAGCATATTGAATGATAGGGTACTGGTCCAGCTTAGAGGAGGGGATGGGGACTTTAAAGAGGCCATCGTGGATATTGGATCTATTATAGATCAAATCACAGTTCACAGCGGAATAATATGACATAAAAAGATACAATTCTTACTATGACCAAATCAGTTTTCCTGTTTGTTATGGACTCGTTCTATGGCAAGACAGTTGCTCATAGAAGGATGAGAAAGAAGGTGACATCTGCAGTTTAAGTTGTATCATGCAGTTTTGCCTGTCAGTTCTAGTTTTGTTTGCTGCATAAGCTTGGCCTCCAAAGCTTGCTTCCACAACCTGATGCTTCTTCGTTTGTTGACTGGTGGGCATGCACTAATGACTCAGTTGACAACCAGGTGCTCCAAAGTATGAATTCCATTATAATTCTAGGAGCTTGGTCTCTGTGGAACCACCGGAATCTCGATGCATCTTTGTTGGAGGAACACGAAACCTTGCTGGCATTTTGTCTCTGGCCAGCAAGGCAGCAACAAGCTCAAATTTTGGAGCTTACCGGGGGCTAAGGGGATCTCTCTCCTGATTTCCCCAAAGCTATATTTGTAGTGTATCAGGTCCAAGTCCAGGTCGTTTTTGTCTTAGTCTGAAGGCGCCAATGTAATGATATAATTTTCTGGGGTGCGTGGTGTGTGTGGCTGTTGTATGGGTTTCTTATACCTTTTTCTTCTTATTAATATAATGATGCAACTCTCCTGCGTGTTAGAGAACAAAAATTAGGATATTGCTCGGCTTAGAGATTTGGTTTGGGGATTGTTAGGAACTCATTTTTATTAGTTAGTTTGGTTACTAGCTTGACATGATAAGCTTGGTGGGTAGATATTTTTGTTAGGCAGCCATACTGGACAATCGTTGTTGCGAAACAAAGTAAGATATCACAATTCATCTAAATCACTGCTCAAAGCCTCCTCTTGGAGGGTGAGTACTCTTCATGTTTTGCGTTTGCATCTACTAAATCTCAGGCATAAGTACATGCTTAGATTTGGAACCACCTCTTTTTTCATTTTTTATATTTATATTTTTTTTAGTTCTCATTAGCTCAGGCTTTGATTCAACATACAGATATGCACCTGAAGTAATCAACATCATCTCAGTTTTGCTCGTAACCGTTAATACCTTTGTTGCTTCAAGATCTGTGAAAAAACCTTGATGGGCTAAAGAAAAATTTCTGTTCTAGTTTTGACATGTGGTGTCCCATGTTCATCATAGTGGAATGCATAAAAGCCTGGTTATACAACATGTTAATGAGCTATATATAAAAGATAATTGTTGGACTAACCCTGTATCAGATCCCTCTGCCTACTTCTGAATTTTAGTGCCATTGGGCTATATTTCTGAGTCTGCTTGAGTTAACCTATACTTCAAACACTTGGCATTTGATTACTAAAAATGTATGCTTGAACGTTACATCTTGGGTTAGATATCATTGTGCAGCAAAATCATGTTTTGTGTATGATTTTATATTTAAAATTTGATATCATTTTTTAAAAGTTTTGGTATGAGCTTTCTGTTCTGAGCTTAATAATACTATTAAATCTTGTTGTGTGTACATTGATTTTATATCTTGCTCTTGTAGGCAGTTCATGGGGCTTCCTTCTTCTGCTCTATGTCTTTGTACAAATATCTCGACTTATAGTTGTTGGTGTTTTGTACCCATTGTTGCGTCACTTTGGGTATGGGTTGGACTTGAAAGAGGCCATGATTCTTGTTTGGTCTGGGCTGCGTGGGGCTGTTGCTCTGTCACTGTCATTATCTGTTAAGGTAAGTTAGTTTCATTTGTGTATCAATAAACCTTTTTCTTTGTGCTTCATTTTCATGTAAGTATGTTAGTCTACTGCAGAGTTTTCTAATGCATTTATTGGAATATTTTTACTAGCGTACCAGCGATGCAGTTCAACCTTACCTTAAACCAGAAGTTGGAGCAATGGTATGCCCTTTTTGCATGTGGAAGTTTCAAATGTCTAATATGGACTTCGCTAATGTTATATCTTATGCAGTTTGTGTTCTTCACTGGTGGCATCGTGTTTCTTACATTGATTTTTAATGGCTCAACCACACAATTTTTGCTACATATGCTCGGCATGGACAAATTGTCGGCCACAAAGGTTAGTTTCATAAATTGTCATCTACCAATTCCAGCTTGGCGTTTAAGGTGTGGCTTGTTTTTATGAACCTCCGTATCTCCTTTTGTATCCATCTGTCCTCTCATTTCAACTAATTACTAGTGAAGTGGTGAAGGCAATGTTTTATGTGCTGCCAACCTGCCGCTTAGCCTAGTGCCTCCAATATCTCAAAGTTAATGGTCATCAATATACTCATCTCACAAATGTTTGACACCATGCTATGTGGCTGACATTTACTTTATCTGTATGTATGCTAGCATGCCAAGTGCGAAATTACTTATGAATTGATTTTAGATAACAGATCCTTTGCAAGGGACAGCAGAAGATGAAAAGAAGAAGCCCTAAACCTAACTCATGCCCTACTACCATTTTATGAATACAACTTGTATTGTATAATAATAGCCCCATGGGGGCAATATATATGAGTACATGAGGAGTACAAGAAAAGGACTCTTTACTCTTAATTTAACATTGGTTTTAAGTCACATTAAAGTAATGTATTTTTCATTACAAAAGATATCTTAGCAATTCTTGCAACAATAAGATTCAAAGAGAATCCTGTTTTTAAGTTTGCACTTCTTTTGACAACTGATCCCCAAATATTATCCCAAGTGATCTGATAAAAGTTGCTGAAAATCCAGAGCAATTGATTTTCCCCTCTTTAGCTGGACATATTTATAACAAATAGACCTGTTGCTCTGAAGAACACCACCACCAAAACATTGTTCCATTTGTAAACTGTTATTCCTATCTGAACAAGATTAGCATCAGACCATGTTGTGAAAAATGGATTAACAATTTCACAAGTTGTGTTCAGGAAGCCTTTATCACTATCATTAACCAAGCCTCTTATTACCATCTTCTATCTGTCTATGTTTGTTTTCTTTGCTGATTTATTGCTTCCATATGCACAACTGGTTCTCATTTATGAATATACATTCACTTACGCCCCAGATAAAGACTCTAATATGGTTTTTTTCAGCTTCGTATATTGAAATATACAAGATATGAAATGCTAAACAAAGCATTAGAGGCTTTTGGTGAGCTAAGGGATGACGAGGAACTTGGACCTGCTGACTGGATTACTGTAAAGAAATATATCACATGTTTGAATGGCCTAGACAATGAGCCAGAGCATCCCCATGATGTTGGTGACAGAGATGACCGCATGCATACCATGAACTTAACAGATATCCGAGTGCGGCTTTTGAATGGTATGTTATCACTTATCAGGTTATCTGATGGAATTTTATACAAATACTTTTTTCGCAAACGCGCCTGGGCGCATATTTCATTAAAAAGAAGAGCAAGATCGACCGCACGCGCGCCTGAACCCAGAAGTGGCTCTGGCGGCATAGAGTTTAACAATTTTTAATACACAAATCTGATATGCAAGTGTTGTTATGAATGTTATAAAGGAGACAATTTTTAATACACAAATCTGACACACAAACCCAGTTTTACATCCTTCTCATTGCAATATGTGTTTATGCATAAACTGTTTGCTTACTGTTCTATCTTCTATACCTTTGCAACTTAATGTGCAAGTGTTGTTATGAATGTTATAAAGGAGACAATTTGTAATGATATATTTTATAACAGGTGTGCAAGCCGCTTACTGGGGAATGCTTGAAGAAGGACGAATAACTCAAGCTACAGCAAATATTCTGATGAGATCGGTTGATGAAGCTATGGATCTTGTTTCCAGACAAACATTATGTGATTGGAACGGTTTAAAGTCCAATGTCCAGTTCCCAAATTACTATAGGTTACCACGAAAGCTTGTCACATACTTCACAGTCAAAAGATTAGAGTCTGGATGTTACATCTGTGCTGCATTTCTCCGTGCTCACAGAATCGCAAGGCGGCAGCTACATGATTTTCTTGGTAATATATTGGGAACTTGATGTGTTCTTTCCTTCAAATTTCCTATTCTTTCTTTGGGTGCTAGAAGAGAATCAGTACTAATTGCATATGTATGAGATTTACATGTATGGTGAACATTTTCTATAGCTGTACATTGTTGTTGCCATGTAGATCACAAATGGCAATAGAAAGCAGACTTTTGAGAAGGGTTTGCCTTTACCACAGAAATCTATTACAGCATTTTGTTGTCAAACTACTAGGTCATGTGAGGTGACAGAGCCTTACTTCACTACGAAACCACTTTATAGGGTGAAATTCTGGTTGAGTGTTACTATAATGAGGACAAACCTGGGGTAGCTCAATTTATTTATCAGTTTGAACTATGAAAGCTTGATTAAAGGTTCCACATTCTATAGTTTTGAGTCCATCTTCCATCATGCTGTTTTGTAGCTCATCAATCTTCTGGTATGATGCTAACGCACTTCTCCAATTTCGGTATTTATTTTTTGTTTTCTTCTATCTTCAGGCGATAGTGAGGTTGCGAGAACTGTTATTGATGAAAGTAACGCTGAGGGAGAGGAAGCTAGAAGATTCTTGGAAGATGTTCGAGTTGCATCCCCACAGGTTTGTGGTAACAATGTAATTCTATCATTTCATTCAGCTGCTGTGGAGCTTTCAGTTCCAAGACAAAATCTTCGTAACATATTCACCAAGCAGTTTTGTCTCCATAAAACTTGGGAAGAAAGTACAAATCCAATAGAGTAGCAAAGATAAAGATCATTGCATGAATAAACTAAAGAATCCTCCTGCTGATAAATTGCAGTGCCCTGGTTTTGAAAACTTTATTTGCCCCCAATTTCAGGTGCTACAAGTGCTGAAGACACGACAAGTCACATATTCTGTGCTGACACACTTGAGTGAGTATATTCAGAACCTCCAGAAGACTGGGCTGCTAGAAGAGAAGGAAATGGTCCAATTAGATGATGATCTGCAGGTAGCTAGAATATTTAACTTATTTTTGTTGTTGTGTCTCTGTGAACAGTTACAGTTCGCAAGTCACAGTAAATATACTTATAAAACTCCAGTAAGCTAAGTTAATTCACTTGGCAGACAGACTTGAAGAAGTTGCAGAGGAATCCACCAATATAGTGAAAACTAGTACAATCCGCGTGCCATCGCGCTCGACGACAAGCGAGCATGTTTAGGTTTATATAGGTAGGATCCATATGTTACATACACTGGTGATGCACATAATTAGGGTACCATGATGGATACACACTTACAGGATGCATACATTATATATACCTAGGTATGTGATACAGATGCATAATTAGGGTACGATGATGGATACACACTCACATGATCCATATGTTACATATATAATGTTACATACGCTGTGGAACTCTTGTAGAGACCAGGAACAATGTACAGACATATACTACATGCGGTGGGGTGTCCACATATAGTTGGGTAGCTGTTCATGGCATCGTCAAAGTGTTCTCAGTATTTTGGTACTTATGTATCACACAATATTAGATGTATGTAGTTAGAAAGGAGGAATCTTATGTTTCTGTGTCAAGAACGTGTCACCTGAACTTTCATAATATCCTGTTGCGTAACCTGAAAAATAGGGATGTAGTGGTAAGATAGTCTTGGTTGTGTTGCGGTGTTGGGCAAATGATGTTGTGTAGTCACAAACTATGCAATGGATTATACAAACAGCATACCTCGTAGTCGGGAAGTGGCCTCGTCGTCTTGCTCTGGCAAATAGATGTAACATGTTATTGTTGAGTGTAGAATGGTCTGTATCTGTAATGTGTTATGATAGAGGTTCATCACCTGCAAAGAATTGTTCATAATATTCCTTTCAATCTACGGGATCAAGTGCTGAGCTTCCTGGCAATGTTGAAACAACAAGGTTTAAAAATTATGGTTGCCTGTGTTGCATACTGGACGTGTGGCTCTCAATGCTGTTACCTCGACATTGGGACGGTGTTTCTGGATGTCCCTTGGGTATATGAAGTTGACCAGGTCTGCTGGTCTTGTATTGTACCATAGTGGCCAAATGTTGAGGGAATCACCGTTCTGGGTTGCTCTCTCGACACCTAGATGTGCGATGCTAGGGATAGCAAGAATGTCCGATGTGTGTGCTAACACCCAATATGTGATGTTGCTGTGCAGAAATGTTATCCGTTGGATATCATAGATACCGTCGAGGAGACGGTGGATTGTCGCATCGCTACACAGGTGCGGTGGGATTCCAGAGATTTCAATCTCTATATGCTGGCTGGTTGGTGGTGTAGATGAAGGGTTGCGCATGTGCCATGCGAGGGCATCAAAGTTGATGCTATTCATGTTAGTCAACTGAGTGTGGAGGGGGACACTGGTGGACCCATATTCTGTGGTCCACGGCATGAGTGTATGGGCGAAGCTAGATACATGAACATAAGTTACATTTAATCGCAGGCAGTGGCAACTAAAAAATGTGCAGGTTCATTAGAAGCATCAGAAGCAAAGGCGGCCAAGAAAAAAGCACAACACAAAGATGTTTTCGCTATGCAGTTGCGATGTGGATATGTGTCAACTATCATCACAAGCACAGAAGACTGCAAGGCAAAGGCCCAAGATCTTAGGCAAAGAAGATCGCAAAGGAAACCTTTAAAAAATTTAGAGGCATCAGAAATATATCAATTATCATTTGATGAAGATCTTGGAGTATCAAGGCATCAGAAATAGATGGAAAATGTCGAGTCTCTCACCAGATCTTGATCATCGTCTTATATTGTAGATCATAAATGGGTATGAAAGATTTCATCATAGGCATAAGAACAAATGGATCAGTAGTAAGGAATGATAATGGTGGCCAGATCCAAACCTGGTTACCAATTCCGCATAAACAAAATTACAAAGATCAAAGCAAAAATCAATGCAAAGGCCCCAGATCACAGGCAAAGAAGATTGCAAAGGGAACCTTTAAAAATTTGAGAGGCCTCAAAAATATATGAATCATCATTTGATCAAGGTCTTGGAGTATGAAGACATCAGAATAGATGGAAAATGTCTGAGTCTCTCACAAGACCTTGATCATCGCCTTATACTCACTGCTACAGAACTGACATCTAGTCCCGGTTGGGAACTGGTTTTAGTCCCGGTTTCCCAACCGGACTAGCGCCCGAGACTAGATCAGAAACTGGGCCTCCCACCGCTGAAGAGATTGAACCCAAGACCTCATGATCATAGGCATAGCTTACCACCCCACCTACACAACACATCTAACAATAGATGGGATGCTTTCAACTGGATCCTGGTTGGTGTTACCAACCGGGACAAAGGGTCCTTTAGTCCGGTTGGTAGGACTAAATTTAGTCCCGGTTGGTGGTTCCAACCGGGAGTAAAGGAACCTTTAGTCCCGGTTGATATTACCAACCGGGACTAAAGAAACCTTTAGTCCCGGAGACAAAAAATGCCGAGACTAATGCCAAATTGGGATATCGTTCTAAAGTCTGTACTCTAGTAGTGACTGTAGATCAGAAATGGGTATGAAGAATTTGATCATAGGCATAAGAACCAATGGATCAGCAGGAAGGAATGGTGATGGTGCCCAGATTCAAACGTGGTCACTAATTCCGTGTAAACAAAACTATAAAGATCAAAGCAAAATCAATGCATGTGGCATACAGACAAAACGCTCCTGATGCCCGGGACAGAGCGGTCATCCACAGCCTACAAAAACAATAGGAAACACAAGGAATTAGAGAACAAACTACAGATCCTAAAGTCAAACTGGCAAGATAAAATTCACAGTCCAAGTCACCAAAGCTTAGACCATCATTTACTCATATATGAATCTTCAGATAACATAACCTCATGGACAGATATGGGGCGTGTCAACTGCATGCACCATGCTTATGCAAGCTTCTGAACCAAAACATGCTCTATGACAGAACACTAAAAGCATGTGCGAGGTAGCTCATTTAAATCATTCATCTGTTTCAGACAAACATTGGGCTCAAAACTGGAAAACAAAATATGAATGCACAAGAATCACATCTGATGACAGGAAAAAAACATATGTAATTTAACCAAGTTCGTGTACTCATTGACAGTGGCCTCATAGGTATGTTATAACAGTACCTTGGCACCTTTGCAGACATGCCACCACTAACCAGATAGCTGAGGTTTTATTCCAGAGTTGGCAACAGGAATGGCAATATATCTTAAAACCTCAGCAGAACGTAGAAAGAGCATGCTCTGTTCCATAAGACAGGTGACAACATCGGCCGCAAAAAAAAATACAGGTGACAACATCAGCTATCATAATGGCAAAAAAAAGAGAGTACAAAAAAGAGTACAGATATTCAGTGCTTCAGCAGTCAAATAATCTGAAGTAAGGAGGGCTTTTCAGTCTAAATATTGCTAGCTCAGCAAAAATCCATGGTAGCTTCTGGTACCAATGAAACACTATTCGCTCATTAAGGATTTTTCTTTTCTGTTACCAACATTAACTGTCACCGCCATAGGAGGTACCATACAAGAGGAGAAGGAGGAAGACCAATTCTGTTGGTCTGTACAGCAAAGCACACACCCAAAGAGAAAGAAGAGGCATAAAGATTAAACCAGAAGAAAATATATAACAGAGAAGAACCCTCTCTTCCCCTCTACAGGAAAGGATAAGGCCAAGAGACGAAACGGAGCAAGACCAAATCTGTGCAGCTATCAAGTAAACTGTGCAGCATTTTTAAAGACAAACCGAATAATATATTGAGGTCTGCACCAAGCGAAAACTCTAGAAATACTATGGAATGTAAATACACTTCGAAGCCTATCATGAAAGGGCTGCCCAACAAAAAGGAAAAAATATATTGCACCAAACATGCTTCTCAGAGGCATGGAAATAGAACCACCAGCAAGTACCAACTTTTTTTGCTTTTGGAGGCACCTATATACCATGTACCTAAAGGTCTGTGAATCAATAGCAGTAATTAAATTAATGTTGGCGGTCCTTAACTCACATTTTTGACAGCCAATTTATTAATAAAAAGGACAAATATGATTACCAAAACTTAGAGATAGCTGTTTTAACTCACAATTTCCACAAGTTTTGGTGTTCACTTGTTTTGCAGGACATAATCATGAAAACACATAAAAATGCGCAAACATGAAGGCGTATTCAAGCAAAACAAGAGAAAGGCCACAAGTTTACAGATTCCGGTAGCAATACCCACGAAAATGAGGCCCAGGCCCATCCAATAACCGACCACGCGAAGGCAGTGCAGGGAGGTGCCACCTAGGGTGCGGGCGCACCCAGGGTGCGGACGCATCCACCCTGCTGCCTTACGTGACCGCCTTTCTCCAGTCAGTTCCTTGACTACTTCTGAGGTCGGTTGCATGTGGATTCCGGGAAATATCCTTCCACAAACCGACATAAGAAGGCTACATAAACAAGGGAAAGCTCCTTTATCCAAGGGCATTCATACACAAGAGAAGAAGAAGCGGAGCCTTATTCATATCTTTAGCTTCTAGCTAGAGTAGTATAGGAAGTGAGAGAGAGAGAGAGTTGGAGAAGTACGAGTTATCGGCTACCTCCACTAGTGTGCTCCGTGCACTTGTACACTTAGCGGAAGGATAGCCGAAGCTGTCGGCTTCTTCTACACTTGTACCTCTATGTTCATCTTACTAATTGGAGTAAGTAGTACGTGTTTATCTTTTGGTGTTGATTTCTTAAGTAAGTTATCATTGTTCATTATTTACTTGCGGGTTCATCGTTCGTCCTTGTGGCGGATACTCTAGTAGAGGGCTCCTGATAAAGACGGAAGTTCCTAGCCAACGCTAGAGTAGTAACCAATAGCGTAGACGTGGTGTCTGAGATAGAAGTTACCTTCGTTTGCCTCGTTCCCCATGGTTGAGGGGTAGTCGGCAGGTGGTGACAGCCTTGTCCGTCCTTTGTAATCCCCCACGTTTGGGTTCAGCGTAGAGCTACACGCCGGTATCGCCTGGCAAACCAGCTGCGCTCCGGTGCCCAAAGCAAGTCTTTAGTGACAAAGTTATCTTCACTTAGGATCTTTACCCTTAGGAGAACATCACTATCCAAGTTATCCTCTTCTCTTCATTAGGTGAACTAGTTAAAGGGACTCTTACACATCCGTTCC